CAGCCTAGAAATTTACGCCGCCTCCCAACGGCGAGTAGGTTTTTGAGCGGGGACTGAAAATATTAATTATTTTCCCATTTTCCACGAAAAAAATTTAAATCTTCTTAATATCGCAGAGCAGTTTCGAGTATGTATGTATGTATACCTATATATTTGTATGTATTTTTATTTTTTGGATGCCCTTTATACCTACGTATGTATAGCTATAAAAATTAGAATTAATAATTTCGTTTCGATTTTTATTAATCGCTCACAAAGTATAATCATCTATGAAGTTTGATTTTTTATATCAAAAATTAAACCCAATTTTGGAATGCTATTTTTTCGCTCTTAAATAATTATTATATTTTGATCAAAAATAAACATTATATTAAGAGCATATTCTTTTTTTTATTTATCTCTTTTTGATAAGAAAAACATTTCTTGGAGTTTTAATGTTTTCAAGAAAAATAATGATCAACTTTAAGTGTTTTCTTCCTATAATTAAAAATAAAACTTACATCTTGAGTTTTATTTTTTCTCTCGCAAATAAAAGATAATATTTGAGTAATTTTTCGTTTGGCAAATCGAAAAACTCAAAACGCTACACCACTTTTCTAATAATTATTTAGTAGTAAATATTTTTTGCTATGCACTCAAAGATTACAACAAATTTATTTACATAATACTAGCAAATACCCGGCGTGCTTCGCTGCGCCTTAAAAGTATTTTTGTGTTCTTAAAAATAAGTTATTCAACCAAATTTTATTAAACATTCTTTATTTTTTATGAATGTGGATGTTAGTTAATATATTTTCGAAGGTATTTAGAAAGTAGGTAAAGCATCGACATATTCTTGGAAATTTAATTTATAATCTTATAACTTGAGTCTATATATTTGGCACTCTCTTCAAAGGTTTATTAATTGAATATTTGTCGCATTTAAGGATCCCTGAACTCTTTTGGCCATCGCTTTAAAATTACAACCACGCCTTTGGCTTTACTGACTGTAGTATTAATATGAACTGTCAGATTTGTTGTAATTTTTTAGAGCATATGTTGACGAGTGCAGAGCAAAAAATATTTACCACTAAACACTTACGTATGTATTAGAAAAATGGTGTGTCGTTTCAAGTATTTCGATCTGCCAAAACATATAAAACTCAAATATTTATTTTTGTTTCTCAGATATAAAATAATGCTCAAAAAATGAGTTTTATTTCCGATTAAAAAAGAATCATAATTTTTTAATGAAAAAAATTAAACTCAAAAAGTGTCACTCTTTGAGGATGCATTGACTTCTCGACGATCACTTTCGCGCTTTCCGATCCCAGGATCCGGCATCTTTGCTTGTTAACATAGCCGGCAAGATAACAATTTCGAGCAAACTCGTTGTACATTTCGTTCGTTATTCCCCAGCGTTGTTCAAGTGCAAAGCGATTAATTTCGTTCCGTGGAGATATTATACAGACTTTCTGTCACGATTTCCAGCGGGAAAGAGCTTTCACGGTTAAAATAACATATGGTAAAAAAACACTCTATGGACCAACTTTTATATGCAATGCTGGTTTTAAGGTGGAGCGACCGATTCGGTCGCCTGGGGCTCCAGAATTTAAGGGGCGCCGCGCATCCCCTTCCATCGCTTGAAGGCTACGGTGTGACTCAATAGCGCAGTAACTGAGTTTTTTCTCTTGTAGCAATGTTTGCCGGTTATATATGGGCAATTTTCAATTAGTTCGAACTTTCGCATGACTCGCTCGTTTTTATTCGGACACATAATTTCGATGGCTTATTATCAAATTCAGGTTAAATATGTTGTGTAGATTATGTAAATCTTAAAAAAGGACCACCGTACATATTTTTTAGCCAAATATGCATACAATTCAGAAATAAAATTGGGAAATTTTCACAAATAAAAGTGTGTCTCTCCTATTATTTTTTATTTTTATTTTTACGTTGCGGAATTTGGTGCGTTGATTGCTCCCCAGTGTTGCCAAATTCTGAGTTTCACAAAGCACCAAAACTTGGGGAAAAAAGCGTTTCACCGTACTAAAAGCACTAATTTTTTTTACCAAAGATACTTTTTTCATAACAGTTTGTATTTAACAAAAGTAAAAAAAAAAACATAAATAATATTTACTAATATGTGACCTGGTCTACGAAAAGGGAGCTTACGTGCGAAAACTAGTTTTCTGTGAAAAAGCTGTTAAAAGTAAGCAACTCGTTTCGTCAGTTTCTCATTATCTCGTTAATTGTTCTCCGCGCCGGACGTCCAGTAAGTGTTGTTGTTGGTCCAGTAAGTGTTGTTGTTGGTCCAGTAAGTGTTGTTGTTGGTCGGAATATTATTATAGTTCATCGTGTAAGTTGCTAGTGTGGAACATTTAAAAAAGTAACACTGAAGAAGTGACGTTTACTGTTTCTGTTGATTATCGTCTTCGCATTTCGCATGAAATGAAACATGAGTGTTGATGAGGAGTTCAGTGCCGTATACGGACAATATTTCCATGAAAAGGATGATGAAAACGATGATGAAAACTATGAAGAGAGCGATGATGATGAAGACGAAGTATGTGTATCTCAGGCAGAAGATGATACCGAACAAACTTTTGTTAAGATGGATGGATGGAGATCTCAAGGAAAACGACAACAAAGAAAAATACATAAACTACTCAGCATTATTATTTTTGGCCCATAATACGTTTTTCTAGTGTATAATCATGTCTTTATAGCTTATAATTCAATGTATTTTGTTCATTACCAATAAATTATATTATGTCGTATTTTTACTCTTCTTTCTCTACATTTTTAGTACACTTCTAAGCAAGTTAGGATTTTCTGCTTTTCACCACGTGAAAAAGCATCTCATCTTCCATCCGAATCAACCAAAAAGTGTAAATTGATTTTTTGACACCTAAGCCCCCCTTCCGTAGACCAGGTCACATATATTAAAACTTTTTCTCATGCTAACGAAGTAATACCGTAGTAGGTACTGCAGATTAAAACTGGTATATTTAAAGAAAGAAAAATGTAATCGCAATAAACGAAAAAATGAATGAAGATTCTTTTAAATTCAGTGCTGCTACAACTTTAATATTTCAAATTATTTCATGTTTTAATTATCTATGAGAAATTTGTGTTCAGAAGAAGAGCACTAAAAAAAGCACTAGGCACTAAACAATTTTTTTTGGCGTTTTAATTTTCAAAAAGCACTAAATCTAGTGCTTAAAGCACCTAGTTGGCAACTATGTTGCTCACGTTTGAGTTTATAATTAGCTGGTAGTATTTGGAGAAAAGGAATTATGAAGTCCAAGTGGCGTGACTCCTTTTTGTTTTACTTCTGACACACGCGGTTTTTATAGTGTACTGTGGCTGGTGCGTACCTAAAACTGTTATCGGACAACTTTTATAGTGTTCTAGAGCATAAAGAACAACTTCTTTAAAAGGTTACGATGCGTGCACAAAAATGAAAATGCATATTTTTTATTAGCACATCGTCTGCAATTTGAAAATTTTGCCAAATACGTGTGTGCTCTATTGTATAATATACTATGGAACTATGATCCTCGTGCACCACTATTTGTTCTTTAAAAAGTTACAGAGCGAAAAATAAATAAGACAAATTAAAAAAAATATATGTATATAATAATCAAAGGAATTTTTTGCCGATGCCATTAAAACTATACCGTTTGTTAGATTTTCGAAAATAGTAGATGCTAGGACTTACCATTGATTTTTGGCAGTTTATGTTGGAATATTTTTTTTTTTATGAAAAAAGTGTCGAGCAACTTCAACAAAAAAAATGTCAAAAATCAACGGTAAGTCCAAGATACTTAAAATTTGCACTTGGCTGTGCTAAAATTTGATGGGCTACAAAACTTTCAAAAGAAAAACGTATAAAAAGGTAAAAACGTATGGTGCATTGCTTTAAAACAATGCTCCATGTTGAATTTTATATTTTAAGAGCTGAAGGAACGTATACTAAAAACCTCAGACATTTGCTCACGATTTAAAAACAAGTAATTTTGAGCATAAAAAAGACCGACTTCAATTCTAATATAAAAAATATATATATATATATATATATATCTCATGATCCACTGATCGGATCTTAACCAGATTAGTATGGGACCACCTCTGAGACATTACCTTTCCGATGCGGTAACATACATAAAAAAAATACAATAAAAAAATAAAAATAAAAAATAAAAAAATGTTCCGACGAACTGGAGGTTATCATATCCTTTTTTGGAAGTCGGTTAAAAAATAAAATTTCACTAAAAAATTCGAAGTTTGTGAGAATTGCCCATATGCTTTCATATAAACGGAACTTGACACGCAGCCATTTCCAAACCACATACGCGGCTTAGGCGCATTAAACATCCGTATGAAGCCGTTATTGATGAACCAATAACTGATCCAATATTTGAAATCGGATTTTGAAATACTCTTTTGGATTTCATGCTTTTATCTCTAAAGAAAAGATTTCAAAAGATAAAAAAATTTTCTGCATACATATTAGAATTTCTTACTTAACATAAACAGACATCAAAATAGACATTTTTCAGTATTGGAAATAGGTTAACGGTCAACTTTAAATCTCATATTGATGCACATTTGTTGTTTGATGAAGTATACAATTTACATATATACATATCTCGAATACAGTCAGGCAACACCTGTCGAAGCATTAGGCCGGGTTTATGACCTAGCCTTAACTTTATGAAAAAGCACAATCTTCAAAAGTGATATCCCATCACTTGGTATCGCTGCGTATTCGGGTAACTATACCAGTGACTTATGCAAATGCAAAATTAATTAAAACGCGCGGTTACCACGTCTCAAACAAATATATTTAAAAAAGCAGGGAAACTTCGGTTTAAGAAGTTTTTCTATGTAGATAAGGACTATTAATATTAAATTCAAAATAGAATATATTTGTTATTATACTTATATGTATATCATATTATATCGAATGTTAAAGGGCGCCCGGGTGCCTAGTTAGGCCGGTTCTGTATATACATATGTCAGTATGTACCCACTAATCTTACAGTTCGAATACTTCAAAGATTCCTACCTAACATGGTTTCGTTGTTACTCGCTGCGCTCGTCGAAAAAACTTTCATTCATACAAATGTTTACATGTATCTACTAACTTCAAGAGACAAGAAACTAACATTTTCTATCTTTTTCTTTCCTTTTTCTTAGGTACAAATGGCCTCCGAAGGCGTGGTCGGCAAACGTATACCCGCTATCAGACGCTCGAATTGGAAAAGGAGTTCCACACAAACCACTACTTGACCCGCCGACGAAGAATCGAAATGGCGCATGCACTCTGCCTCACCGAACGACAGATCAAGATCTGGTTCCAGAATCGACGAATGAAGTTGAAAAAGGAAATTCAGGCGATCAAAGAGCTCAACGAGCAGGAGAAACAAGCGCAGGCGCAGAAGGCGGCAGCACAAGCGGCGGCAGCAGCGGCGGCGCAGGCGCAACACATAGGCGACCAAAACTAGGAAAAAACCATCACAACTTATTCATTTTATAGTAATAATAATATTAATAGTAACAATAATAATATTACGAGTAATAATGATAGTAACAGCAACAACAATAATCCTAATGCTAATACTACTTTTAACCATAACTTTACAAATAATATTACAACAGCCACAACTCCATCGGCAGTAAGAAACCGAGCAGCAATGCCAACACACACCGCTGCTACAGCGGCAATGACTTGCAATAACAAAATGTCAACGTCATCGCCAACATTGTTGCCGATGCCGTTGCCGCTGCCATCGCCGTCACTGTCAGCATCACCGGCACCCGCTTACCACGCATACACACACACAGTAAACGAAAATACCAGTAATTTTATCGATAGTTTAAGCAATGCAAATATTAAGTATAATAGATTGAATTTTATTTTAAACCGAAACATTTACGAGTATTCGACAATAAGTGGTGGGCACAAGTTCTATTGAAATTTGTGTTTTTAACGAGGTACTTGTAATCACGAAACCTACGAAGCGAATGTGCATTGGTGTACTAATACACATTGAGCTACATTTCGATCTGATTTCGTCAATTTTTTCAGAGCTTTTCTTATATATACATACATATGTTCGTATATATATGTAGATATGTGAATAGCTAAATATCGTCGATGATGCCGCAAAACGATCTATCAGTTATTACTTTTGGGACTTACATGGTATGCTACTTACTCCGGAGTGCATCTGCAAATCGTAAACTCTCATAAACTAATGGCAAAACTGTACTTTTGGCTGATGAAGATGAACGACTTACAGAAGCGATCAGATACTGGTGCCAGATCATTTAAAAACTGAGGTAATAATTGACATGGAAGATTTTTCAGCATGGCCGATGGTATATTAAACTCAAGGTGCTGTGTAGCCATTAGCTTTCGTAAATACTCGTAGCTTGACAACTGAGGGAAATGTCTTAAGAGTCTGCTGGCCTTGTTAGGTGTTTTGCCAAAATTGTAGAATCTAGAATGCTGCACCAACTCGAGCTCTCGTAAATATAGGTACAAAAATCTAAATATTTGTTATGAATTCTGTTAATATGAATTTTCTATTAGTTATTATTGCTATTACTTAAGTATGAAATATTTTAAACTTTGTGTATAGTTTCTCCTTGTTTTATATGTTTATAAGTACTCAGCTGTCCCTATTCCACAATCCCTCAATACCACTTCGTTGTGTTTAATTGCTTCTAATCGTTGTTTTGTGTTAAGTAATACCGTTACGTAAATACATGTGTATATCTCAAAGCTAAAACCCTATATATGAAATTAATTATTTTTCCTGAATGTTTAGCATTAGCGAATGTATTAAACTTGATTTTAATGGGCCTTTTGTTAGGAGTTTAGCTATTTTATTACGAGCAGCGAAATAATTCACCTACGTTTCTCACAAATTAAAAATCCTCTCGTATGAGTTTATACTGGACTTTCAGTACTCGAAACAATCATCAGCTTCTGGTTACAAATACATACTTACCTGATCTCGTAAATTTTTTAAGTGTAATGTAATTTAGTATTTTTGTTAGCAATCATACATGCAACACCTCCAGAGCCCATAATAATTGTATACAGACATCCATGTACACTCATAAACTCATGAATTACTTTTTATATACATATAAACGCTAAACTTGTTGATAATTTCTATAATGTTGATGCAATTTTGATATTATTTAAGGGCCATTTTTAGTTTTCTAATACTTTCTTTTTGGGAATTTGAGAATTAGAAAAGTATATAAATTATAGATGATAAAAAAGCGACCTACTTAGCGCTTCGTGTTAAAAACTCAATAATTTTAGGTGCAATATTTTAATAGCTTATGAAGATTTAAAATTATTATCGAGTTGCAAATGAAAAGACAAAAGGAAAATTTATAAAAAAATCATTATTTTTATTTTGTGTTGATTGAAACATTACAGAATCGTTGGCATCTTATTAAGGAGAATTTTTAAAATTCACATTTAGCATGTTAAAATTCATCGACGTCCTTTTAGCGTACAAATATTTTACTGCTGACAGAAATTATTGCTACATGTAATGAAGAATTTTAAATAAAAAAACGGCTGCTTATATTTTAAACCAAAAGAGGATTTAAAATTACATTACAAAAAAATGCTAACAATTTAGCCTCCACCAGCACGATACCCAGTGAAATGACTATTAAAAATCATTAATTGTTGCATACATATAAAGCAAAAATACATACATATTATACGTGTCCCTTGATAGATAAAAAAAAATGTACGAGCATCGTCTAATCAAAAGACTGAATTTCCATAAAACATTGAGGTTGTTCACACTTGGCTGGTTATCAGGTTATGTGGTTATATTTTTTATTCAGTTAACAACAATAAAATACATTACCCAATAATAAGGCAAGTGTGAACAACCTCACTATTTTACAAAGTATATTGGAAGTATGGCCGTTGTGGCTGAGTTGTTAGAGGTGCGATCTACCACTCCATAGGACCTGGGCTCGCCCCTGGTCCGAGAAACATCTAAATTAGAAAAAGTTTATTCTAAGAGCGGTCGCCCCTCGGCAGGCAATGGCAAACCTCCGAGTATATTTACCTCATAAAATCCATCTGCCGATCGGAGGCGGTGCAAAACTGTAAGTCCCTCTATTTGTGTAACAACATCAAGGACGCACAAAACAAATTGGAGGAGAGCTCGGCCAAACTCTTAGCAAAAGTGTAAGCGCCAAAATATTATGTTATTATTATTATGAATGTACGATTGAAGAACTTCCAACAAAAATTTTGGTATTTTGCATGCTTTGAAGCATACGAGAAATTTTTTCTTGACTACATTGCTAGAGCACTAAAAAAATACCGGATGTGGAAATACCTTTTGATAAGACACTCCTCTCTCAAAACAATACTGACGTACGCTTAATTGACAATTAAAACGTAAACAATTCATATACCTGTTTGCAATAATCACATTTTGGCTGTTCTTCATGTATGGTAAGATGAACTACATGAGCTATGTTCCTACATATGTGCTTATTTACCTTACCTTAATACTTAATATAAAAAGGCCCCAACTAAAGAGTGTGTCAGACGTGGCAATGCAATATATTTCGAAAAGGCTGTCAAATAGAGAAATTTCAGAAAGCAATTGCATGCCGAGTCACACCTTGCATGTAAAGTGTTTTCGAAAGACGTTTTTTATTTCCGAAAGGTGAACTGCGAGGAAAATTTCTGGAAACTCTTTTTGGCTGTTCACACAGCGAATCAAAGTCTTGCAATCTTTCTCGATACTAAAATACAACCGTGAGCTGCTGGTTTGTTATTTCTCTTGATTATAATTAACTCAATTTTCAATTTCAAGATTTATCTATTATTTATAACCAGGGACCAAAAATAACTATTATCCCGAATTTACAAATTGAAAACATTGCCCGAATTCTGAAATTTAACTAAAACGTCTCACAACAGTTATTAGATAAAAATATTTTTTATTTCGCCGATAATAGTTATAACCCAAAGTTTATTTTTACGTTGTTTGATAACAGTTATTTCCCATCCCATATTTTTACCCAACATTTATTTTTTACGTTGTCTGATAAACGTTTTAAGATACGAATATTGACGAAAACGGCGATGGGGAACAAGAAAAATATGATGCAAATAAAAAAGGAGGAGTGAAATAACTGTTATTAGACAACGTAAAAATAATTGTTGGGTAATAACTGTTATTAAGAAACGTTAAAAATAAACGTTGGGAAATAACTGTTATCAAGCAACGTTAAAAATAAACGTTGGGCAATAACTCTTAATGGCGATGGAAAAAATATTTCTCCTGCATAAAGGTTATAACCAAACAATTAGATTCTAAAAAATAATTTATTGAAACTATTCCTAATATTTCTCCTGCGTAACGTTTATAACCACACAATTAAATTCCGGAAAATAATTTATTGAAACTATTCCTAATATTTTATTACAAATTATTCTTTAATATTTTTCACAAATTCTCGCTCACTTGCAGAAGAAATAAAAATTGCTAGTGCAGCACGGGCAAGTTGAAATATATTTCCGAAATCGATTTGCGCTCTTTCAGTTGTTATCAAGCAACTAAATAAACTTTGTAAAACTTCGAAAATTAGTTTAAAAAGTTTTATTTTGTAAGAAACAATTGACTTTTTTACTAAGTTCTAATTTACTTAAAAAAAAAATATCAAAAACTATTATTAGCTTCAAGCCGCCGAGAAATAATACTTAAACTTGAACTTTTTTGAGCTGCATATTTTGCTTAAATTTGATTTTAGGGCATTCGACGGGAATTTCATTGGGAAAAAGTATTTTTCGGACGATAGAACCCAATTTGTGAACTAAGCGAGAAAACTTACTACAAAGTAAGGACATTGCCTACTTATTTCGTAAACCTTAAGTAAAATCTCCAAAAGCGGCAGTTATTTCAGTCAGTTTTGAAAAACACAGAGAGTTCCTTTCTTTTGATGATGCTTGTTCCAGGTTGAATAGTAAGTGTGGATATGTCTTAAGCGAATAAAGGGTGAACACACCAAAACTGCGACACATAGAGATTACTACCAGAAACAAACTAGAAGGATTTGAATTTAGTTTTTTTTTGTATTATATAACTTGGAAGTTTAGATTTTATTAAAATGTTAAAATATTAGTTATTATTTGCTCCATATGCAAGTGATCGGTATTTTCATCGCACACACGTAATCACGTTCTGCACGACTGCATCATCGACTTAACGCGACGTGCACAACCACTTTGTTTTGCGCTCTTCAATATTTTTTACTGTTTCAACTATTTTCTTCAAGATGCAAGACAATTGGCCAATATTCTCCAATAGGACGTAGCTCTGGGCTATTGGGTGGATTGCAGTTGTGAGGTGCAAAATTGATGTTATATGCATTATACCACGGCAATGTGTCCTTGCATAGTGGCAGCTTTCCATGTCCGCCTAGAACAGTGGCCTACTGCCTTATCTGTTCATAAATGACAGACGCCTTTTGAGGCACTCATCCCGATAAACTTGATCATTCATTGTCCCGGATGGGGAAAAAAAGGGCTGCTCTTACGGCCACAGGAACAAATAGCTTGCTAAACCATGTTCTTTTTTGGAAATTTGGACTTCATTTTCGGCTTACAGCTTTCAGGGACGTCTTGATGACTTGCAGCAGTATAAAAATCTTGACCTGCAATATATTTCGAATTTTGAAAGCAGTAGATTTCGTAGTCCATAACAATGCAGTTGTATTTTTTAATTTAGAATTCATACAACTTCCGACTGCGGGATTTCTCTGTAACATTCTACTTTGCGCTTCGGTCTGGCGCTGTTTGAGCTGTAGAACATCTCAATGAATCTTTCCGCTTCACTTTTTGTACGAAAAACTGCGATCTCCATACGGAGTTTGCAACATAACGCAAAAATGCACTGGGGACCTTCCGAGCAAT